CTGTGAGTTTTATTGCCGTGGAGCTCTGTGATTCACTCATACACGGTATATGTTACTGTGAGTTTTATTGCCATGGAGCTCTGTGATTCACTCATACACGGTATATGTTACTGTGAGTTTTATTGCCGTGGAGCTCTGTGATTCACTCATACACAGTATAATTACTGTGAGTTTTATTGCCGTGGAGCTCTGTGATTCACTCATACACAGTATATGTTACTGTGAGTTTTATTGCCATGGAGCTCTGTGTGATTGTCTGTGATAAATTGATGAGTATCTCTGATAAAACAAGCCAGTCTTACACGGTGCCCAGTCAATCACTGAAATGTAATTTCATATCCTCCGCCGCACACACAAGCTTTAAGTCAATTTAATTATTATTATTTCCCATGTTCTTTAATTCCTTTGAATTGCAGCCACTCGTTGCACTTTGGTTGAGAGGGGATTATTGAGAAGGAGCTGTACTACCTTTAAAATGACTTGTCCTATCTCCAGCACCAATTTCACACTGTCACATTGTCCCGTGGCATTCTAAAAATCTCATAATTAGCATCTGTGAGACCAATCTCAACTCACACAACATAAACCTGCAAACAATGTTATCCTCACACTGGCTCCGTGTCTCCGCTGTCCTTCCAGGTTTAGGATTATTATCCTTCACTTCAGCCAACAGATTTAAGGACAATGTAAATAGCCTTCTGTTGGTCAGTTATCATTGTGAACAATTACCCATGATCCTCTGGTAGTATGGAGGACGTAAAACTGGAATTAGCTCCTCGGAGCCCTGTCTCAACATGCTGTATTTGGAACAAACCCTAACAATTTGTATCATGGTCATGTTGTAATATCCCAGGGTTTAAAGAAACTATATTTAGGTCAATTTATGTTGCTATAGGATCACATGAAAAAAACTGGAGTTACCACCGTACTCCAAAAAGGTGCTGCTATCCCACCTCACTGTGGCTCTTACAGTGATATATGCAAACACAATTTGAAAAAAGGAGGCAAGCGCTACCACAAGTGTGTGCAACAAGTGCTACAATATTAAAGGGACACTCCAGACACCCAGACCACTCCCATCATCCTTAACCCTGCAAGTGTAATTATTGTAGTTTTCATAAACTGCAGTAATAACCTTGCAGAGTTAAGTCCTCCTCTAGTGGCTGTCTAAAAGACAGCCACTAGAGAGACTTCCGGGTTCTTAAAACTCGAAAAGTGTTTTAAATGACGCTGGACGTCCTCACGCTATGCATGAGGACCTCCACCGTCACCGGAATTCCCATAGTGGGGCTGACGTCAGCGGGTGAAAACCGTGGGCGGAGCCTGACCCAGTGCTGAGTCCTTCAGCAACATGGGATGGGGGATGGGAGGAAGAGGGGCACCAAAGGATCCTCCAGTGCCAGGAAAATTGATATGTTTTCCAGACACTGGAGAGGCCCTTTAATTGAATAACAAGCATCTATACAAAGGTCTATACAAAGACCTTTCTCAATGCAAGGACAACATGGACAAGATGCATTGAGAAAAGGGCTTTGCAGGAAACGTTTGTATGGATGCTTGTTCTTCAATTAAAGCTGTAGCACTTGTGCACACACTTGTAGCTGCGCTTGCCTCTTTTTTTCAAAATGTTGTTTGCATGTTGCTATAGGAAGAGATTGTGGGAATTATTATCAATTTTAAAGAAGGGGAGCAGAAGGGTGCCTTCCCCTTTCCTAAATGTTATAGCTAATGGTAGAAGGGTAACTCTATCAGGTGCCAAGACGTTTCACCTTTCTGTAATGCTCAGATAATTATCTAGCAGAATTAGATCTATTTTAGGGTTTGGGTACTGACACTGGTCTATACAATGTGCAATGACTCTCTAAATTGTCAGACCTGGATATTCTGAAACCAGGCCTAAATGTTACTGTCCACTGCAAAACCTCTTCTATTATATGCTCCCCACGTGTGTACATGATAACATCTGAAGACCTTACTGTAACATGACCTCTGATTTAACGGTTAGTGAAATTTGGGGCCCAGTGCATTATTCACTTTGTTGTGATTCATATTTTTCTCTTTTGAAGAACAGAGAGGAACTTACTTATTATCTCTCTTCCCTTTCAATCAGTCAGCCTATCTGAAGTACTATACAAGCTGGTTGTACTCCCTACACGGTGTCTGAGTTGGGACAAGTGGCTGATGGACAGATTTCTACAAATCTCTACAGAGCTTTATATTGCCATTATTGATGACTGAACACATAAAGAATGCAGTCACAGTTAAAGCGGCACTGTTACCCCTCCTGAAAAATTTGTATTTTTTAAAGATATCATCTTCATGTAATACTCATACTGACTGTGTTGGAATTTCACGGAAATACTTTGTCTCAGTGTAATTCCGACACCTGACACTTCTTGACACTGGGTGGAGCCAGGGCCGGTGCTTGGATTTTTAGGTACATAGGCGAAGATGCCTTTTTCCGCCCCCCCGCACCCCCCCCGAAAAAAACATCTTCACCTATGTGCCTCTTAACCAGCCCCTCTCCCCTCCCTGACCATTAGTAGTCCCTTCCCTTCCCTGTCCCTTAGTGTTCTTCTCCCCTCCCCCCTCTTTTCCCTGTCTCTTGGTGTTTCTCTCCCATTCCCTCCCTGTCCCTTGGTGCACCCCACACCCCTTTAGTGGTCACACTCCCCTTCCTGGTGTGCCTCCTACCTCTATTGTTGTATTGCCGAGTGGAGCAGATCCCCTAAAGGAGCTTCAGTTTTCTGTACCCGGCCGGACTGACAGGGAGTGCTCTCTCTGTGAGCACCTCCTGTCAGTCTGGCCAGGTACAGGAAACAGAAGTCCTGTACCGCGCTCTGCTCCGCTACACTCTGTACACACTGACAGTCACACACTCAATGACAAACACACAGACGTCACTGACAGACACAGACTCATTGATCTGACACACACTCATTCATTGACACTGACAGACCCACACTGATTGACACTCATTGACAGACACACTGATAGTCACACACAGACTCAATGACAAACATACTCTCACTGATTTGACAGACAGACACACTCATACACTCGCACACACACTCATACAATCACTCACAGACACACACACTGTCACTCACAGACACACACACTTTGTCACTTACACACACTTTGTCACTTACACTCACAGACGTACACACTTTGTCACTCACACACACTGTCACTCACAGACGTACACACTTTGTCACTCACACACACTGTCACTCACAGACGCACACACTTTGTCACTCACACACACTGTCACTCACAGACACACACATTGTCACACACACACTGTCACTCACACACACTGTCGCTCACAGACACACACACTCTGTCACTCACAGACACACACACACTGTCACTCACAGACACAGACACACACACACAGTCACTCACAGACACACACACTGTCACTCACAGACACACACACACAGTCACTCACAGACACACACACAGTCACTCACAGACACACACACACTGTCACTCACAGACACACACACTGTCACTCACAGACACACACTGTCACTCACAGACACACACACACAGACACACACTGTCACTCACAGACACACACACTGTCACTCACAGACACACACACACAGACACAGTCACTCACAGACACACACACTGTCACTCACAGACACACACACACACAGACACACACTGTCACTCACAGACACACACACTGTCACTCACAGACAGACACACACTGTCACTCACAGACACACACACTGTCACTCACAGACACACACACACACTGTCACTCACAGACACACACACACACAGTCACTCACAGACACACATCACATGCATTCACTAATTATTTTATAAATACATATTTTCCACCCAGCCTCCCTACCTGGAGAGCTGGTGTGGATTATGGATCGGTCCCTGGGGCTGCTGGGAGGCGTGCGGCAGTGCTGTGAACAGGCGCGGCGAGGGAGCTCTAATCTCCACCCTCTGCTCCCTTGCGGGCTGCCTGCTGATGCCGCGGGAGCCGGGTTGATGACGTCATATTCCGGCTCCCGCGGCATCAGCAGGCAGCGCGCGAGGGAGCAGAGGGTGGAGATTAGAGCTCCCTCGCCGCGCCTGTTCACAGCACTGCCGCGCCGGGGGTCGAGATGGTGGCCTGGCAGGAGGGAGAGCTTCCCTCCTGCCGGTCACTGAAATATTGCGCCCCCAGAGCCCGTGCGCCCTAAGGCGGCCGCCTGTGCCGCCTTATGGACGCGCCGGCCCTGCTCTGGCTGCATGTGTTGCTCCCCTGCGGTTTCAATCAGCAGAGAGAAGCAGGGATAAGATGTAGCTTCCTATCCCTGTCTCTCTCCATACACAGCGCCACCTACTGGCCGGCGCCGGTATTGCAGTTCATTTTAAATCTCACACAAAATAGCAGAACAAGCTGAAAAATCCAGGGGGGGGCAAGTGCCCCCCCTTGCCCTCCCCTGCGGACGCCCATGGCCATGTTGAACTTTCAGTGACCAGTATGAGAGAGAGTGTGAGAGAAATGATACCAAATTTAACACAACAGCTCCCTATTCACACCTGAGACCTTGTAACACTAACGAATCATATGACACCGGGGAGGGAAAATAGCTAACTGGGCTCAATTTGGACATTTCCACTTAGGGTTGTACTGACTTTTGTTGCCAACAGTCTAGACATGAATGGCTGTTTGTTGAGTTATTTTGAGGGGACAGCAAATTTACACTGTTATGCAGGCTGTACACTTACTACTTTACATTGTAGCATTGTAGAGTGTAATTTCTTCAGTGTGGTCACGTGAAAAGATAAAATATTTATAAAATTGT